ATCTTGTGACACGGGGGCTTCCGGTCTGGTGACCTGGCTTTGCCAATAGCTTGATTACGGTGCCCCTTGTGCTCTGGCCAGCCCGTCAGAGCGACGCACACGGCAAAGGCTGACTCCAGCCGTTTTGTTTCCTGCCTTCACCAGGTGAACCAGGCTGACGCTTTGCTTGAAGACTTGGATGGTGACAGACACCCCTCTAAACGCCAACTTCGTCCCTGCAGGAGCGACAGCGCGGACAATCCTGGCCAGCAGCACTGGAAACATTGCCTTTCATAAATGTAGCTTGGACCAACTTTTGGTTGGGATACTCAGTGTATTTGCGTGGGCTGCAGACGGGTTGGGCCCCGCACGGCCTCTGCTCTCCATGCCGGATCTCGCACAACAAGTGGGAAGTGCAGCGATTTTTCTTGCTGGCGACAGGCTCTGCCGCAGTCATGTTGGAAAGAAGGCAAGTGCTGCCTTGGAAGTGGCCTTAAGCGCGTTGATCTGCTGGCTTTTCCCTGATGATAGCCATTTCGGCCGGACGCATGGAGGTGGTGTTCGAGCCATTGCTGGTGTAGCTTGCGCACACGGCTTGTTGCTCCTCAAAGCACGCAGGCACACAAAGCTTGCAAAGCAAGTTGGTCGGGTCCTCACGCGGGAACAGCGGGCAGTCTTTTGGCCTGAGCTATTCCGTGATGTGACGGCTTCCCGGAGAGAGGTGGCAGTTCATGATTTGATGCATTTGCAGTTGCTTGCAGTGCGCGGACAGGGCATGTGCCTTACACACTATGGTGCTACTGCGGACGACTTGAACATCCTGTACCAGTGGTTCGGGCCTTCTCGTTATGTGGGCAAGGCTCGTTTGGTCCGTGACTCTCGGCCGCAAGTACCAGGTGTTGGACAACGGTTTTTGGAGCATTTTCTGCGCTGGAAGCGACCGCACCTCAAAGGTGCGGATGTTACACGCTATGCAAAGTTTAGGCGCACCTCCGCTACCGGCATGGCCTTCCTAGTTTGCAGAGCAGGCCCTGAGCGGATGATCAGTGCCGCTGAAATTGTGGAGATACGGCGCCACTGCCCGGAGGCCAATGTTCAGGGCAACCCGCTTGCACAACGTCAGCGTGTGACCCGGCGCTCCAGGCCGCCTGCTTCTCAGAGACGCCGTAGCCAGTACGCTGCCAAAGCCTTCCCAGGAACCTTTGAAGGGCCCTTTGCTGGCCAGCAACTGCAGGCTGCTCTGAAAACAATTGGACGTGCTCGTGACTGGCATGACAGGTTCCAGCATCCGGACCTTGGGCAGTTACTCCAGTACAACTTTCGCCGTGGATATGCGCACTACGTCCAAGCGTGGATGGCCTCTACTGGCTGCATTGGGCCGGTCAACATCTATAGCCGGCAGAAGTGGAAGCTCCTGGCGATGTTTCTGGGGACATTTGGCTGCGAGATTGATTGGGCACTCCTGGACAAGCACTGGGGCGCGCCTTGCGCCATGATTGAGCTATGGTCCAAACTCCGCCGGTGGCTCCCTTATCGGAAAAAGCTGTTGGCGCAACAAAAGCTCGATATGGAATTTCGTCGGCGAGGCCTCCCAGGAACCCGTGGCCTCGCAGTGAAGGTCCCGCGATCTACTCTTGTCCGTGCTGTTCGGCGAGCCGTCCGCAAACTCATCAACAGCAGGGTCGACTGGGATGATAGACTCAAAGGGTGGGCGCACGCACAAATCCGCGTTGTGACTGGCCGCGCACCGCGATTTTGTGATGCACAGAACTGTTCTCGGCTTGCCCGGAGGTTCGATTGGTCTGTCGTTGGCGGTGCTGACCCGCTGACCTTCGATATGGCTCAGGTCTCCTCCAAGGCAAAACGCTTTGAGCACAACTGGCTTCTTGCTGCAAGGCCCACTAAGGCTTCCGATGTGGCCGCCGTCAGGAAGGCTGTGAGTTCCGTAAGGTGTTTGTGGTCCCAGGCCTGCCATCGTCATGCCGCCATCTCCACTGCGACACAGACCCTGCTGCAATCCCCAGACTGGTTACAGGAACGCACACATTTTCAGCGCAGCCACGCACCCTACGCCTTGCTCCGGGATAGCTTGCAGTTCCCACGTGGCCACGTTGTCTGCCCAGATGACAAGGTGCGCCAGTTTAGATGGGTCATGCCCTACACGGCGTACTTCCTTTTGATTGCATGGTTTGTTTCTGTCTCGCAAACGTGGACCACTTCTTCCATGTCTACTGATGAGGCAAATTCCTGGTGCCGCGCTATGCTTTTGGCCCTAGTGCCGCCCCTGCTGCATGCAAGGATGGGCATTACACGCCGAGGCTGGTTCCTTCCATACATGTACGGGACCGTGAAAGCCAAATGCTTTGGATCTGGCCCTGATGCGGGTAAACATGTCTGCAACAAGCCTGGACATTCATGCTTGCGCCGCATCGTCTCATATGCTACATGGAAAGCACGCCGCAGTTGGCGTGCAGCTGGCCGTGCACTGAGTTTTATTGCCCAGAGCGTCCTTCTGACTGATGAGGTGCCGTCTTTAAAGCAGGCCAGGCCCTTTATGGCTGAGGGCCTGGAACGTTTGCAGCCTTGCCGGGAAGTACATGTCTGTGATCGCTGCCATGGCCCATGCGAAGGATTGCAAGGCATCGTGGCTGATGCTGGCCAGTTCTTCGAAGCCGTGCAAGTCCCTGATGCTTGTGAGGCGGCTGACCGCGTTCTGAACTTAGCTGAGCTTGATGGCCACTCCTCAGTCACTGTTGCTGGGAAGAAACATGTTTTCTTTGGTGGGAGCATCTACCGCTCCATGCAGCAGTGCCTTGTCTTCTCGTTGGAGGAGCTTTATTGGCTATTCACTGCAGCTTGCAACATGCGGTTTGCCCACACAGGCACGCAAGTCTGGACATTCTCCGGGCTCCCTATAGGGGGTCTGTTATCCAAGACGGCCACGTCCTTTGTTCTTGGGTGGCAAGAGCACTGCTGGCGCACGGACCGGAGCCGGAGGCAGGCTGCAGGCTTTGACTTCCCTGACCGCCTGTGGTCTCATTTAGTGGCCAGGGCTCGATATGTGGATGATGTGCTCTGGCTCAGTCGAGCCCTATGCGAGGGCTGCCTACGGGATGGGATACGCCATGTTTATGCAGTGCCGTTTGAAGTGGAAGGACCTGTTCAGGGGGCTCTGTCATGGCTTGATTTTCGCATTGAGCTGAAACCGTTGCGGTGGACTGCTAAGAGGAAAGAATTCATCGCTCTCCCCCCGTGGGCGGTGCAGAAACAGTATGCCTTCGGCATCTTGCTTGGCCGTGTATCGCGATGGAGTGAAATGGGACTCGGTCCAGCGGAAACCTCCGAAGCTCTGCTAGCTCTCTTCGTTGATTTCTACAAGCATGGCTGGTCGAAGAAAGCGTTGAGGAAAGCAGTATACAGAGTTGCCCAGCGGTGCAGCGCAAGAGACAAGTCCCTCATGCTCCGCACATTTCATTGGAGTTTTTGTGTACTTTCTCCTTAATGTGCCCTGGGCTCAAATTGGGGTGTAGGTTTTGGGGTTTGTTAGCATAGCTCTTTGAACTCAGTGAAGCATGGCGTGGAGACAGTTCCTGCTCGGGACGGCCTTGCTCTACCACTTGTGGGTGGCTGATGCTGGGGGTGGAGGCCATGGTCGTGGTCCTCATCCTCGTGATCGTGAGCGACAAGCCTTGCCACGTTACCCTCAGACTCCTGCGCAGACAGTTCGCCTGGAAGTCGCTGTTGTTGGTGATGGGCGCTCGTCATCCTTCAACAATGGGTATGGCCGTGAAAGGGATGAAGGGGCGAATGGTCGTCACCGTGATCGCTCCCGTGGCCGTGGCAAGCGTCGACATGGCTTTCGTGACTCGCACAGCCCTAGTCCCCGCAGGCACCGCAAAAGCAAAAGCCCTGGCCTCAAGAAGAAAAAGAAGACCAAGAGACGCAAGTCAAGCTCTTCCAGCTCTTCTTCTTCGTCTTCCCCTGCTGGAAAGGCCTCCAGAGCAGATCGGAAAACGGAGGCTAAACAAGCTGAAGATCGGTTGATGGCTGAAATGCAAAAGATGCGAGCTGAGCTGGCCCGCAAAACTGCAGAGCCGTCCACACCGAAGAGGCGCTCAACACGGCATCCGGAAGTGCAGTGGACTCCCAAGATACATGCCCACTTACAGTCTTTGTGCGCGTTCATGTGTAATGGGGAGAAGATACACCTCGTGGATGCCTCGAGAGTCCACGGATGGGAAGATATTCAGGAGCAGTTGCAGGCCCACTCTGCACCGACTCTCAAGAAGTACTTGGCTACAAAGGTTCCTGCGTCAGAGGTGCCCCGCACCAAGCCAGCGATTATTGCAGCAATTGTGGCCCTAGTGTCAGAAGCAGTGCGGGTCTGAGACACTAAGAGCAAGTTGCTGCCTGTCCCCGGGGACCTGCGACCACAGCATGTCTTGATCGTCGGGTCTGCAGTGAGCCTCCTGGGCATAATCTTCTGCGGCTTGGTTCTTCGTGGGTTGAAGCCTGAGTCGATTTGCCCGGCTCCTTTCGCGAGCACGTGCAGATGGCTCGATGCCTACTACACCTTGACAGTCAGGGAGATTCGCATCACTGAGACAGTAGACATGATTTTTGGTTCACAGATCCTGCCCCAAACACAGTATGCTGCATTTGCATTTGTTGGCATCGTGGGAGCATATGTTGGGAACTGCCGAGTTGGGTCCCCTAGGCTGTCGTACTTCTCCAGGTCTGTTGCTGAGCAGGTCCCTCGTAATGCCCTCCCTCCCTTGCCTGTGTTTGGTGGGAAATAATCTGCTTGCAGTTTGCTTGAGTAGGCATCTGCTGCATGTTGTGATGCAGATTTCTTCTGCTGATTCGGCAGCCAGAGATGCACTGACTTTCCAACTTCCCTCAGGTCCTAAGCTGTCTGAGGCTGCTGTCATCTCCGTCTTAACTCAGGTGGACATATGATTCCTCGCTTTTGCAGGCGGTTTGATCTGCCAGCATTCTCAGCAGCCATGTTCCCCAAGGCTTAGGCCAGGCGCTCAAGCGCCCCATGGCGCGCACATGTACATGGGCTTTGGTGAAAAGGCGTTTGCATCTTGCATCTTGCATCTTG